AATGGAGATAATGTTTTGAAATATTTTAATGCAGAAAGAATTATTTTTAAGACAAAGTATTAGGGACCAGACAGCTTCAGTAACGATATTAAAAAAATGGAATGTGTATTTTTATACCCTGGAATCTTCACTGTGTTTACAGACAGCTTTCCTGGAAGTTAATTTTGTAGGCCGTGATGCTTTTTGTCATTTTGGGGGAAATGACCAAATTTCAAATTGCACATGGATATATTTGAGCAAATTAAGGCTTTTAGCAGAGACTGCATGGCCTAGTTTTCAGAACTGGTAGCCTCTCAAAACATAAAAAACAGACTCTTAGGGGAAGAATTTAAAGGCTGTTGTAAGTCCAAGTAAAGATATATTTTGATACAGAAGATACCTATTTTTAGTCATCTAAGATGACTCTTACTTACCCTGTGGTCCCGTCTAGCTTGGCTTCTTAAAGTTTAGGGAGGTGAGATGGGGAAATGTCCTACAGAAATTGTACAACCAGGATTGGGTCCTGTTCTTGGGCCTTCTGTCTTCTCTTGTGTCTGTGAGATACAGGAAAATACAAAGGACAGTTCAGAGAACATTGAAGTGTCCCTTGAACTGTTACAATTTCAAATCAATCACAACAGCTGGAGTCAGGATCTTGTTAAGATGAAATTCTAAAGAATGTTTTTTACTTTTACTTTAAAATCCTGGTCAGCATATTTTCCTCCTCAGCCACCAGTCCCAGTCTTCATGAGAAGTGAGCTGAGGTCTGATGGACCAGATTCTGCAAGTGGATCCTTCACATTGTGATAGAAAATGAAAAAGTAGCAAATACTAAAGAGTACATTATGTATATAGCTAAATTGCACTTCTCTTGGTGAGCTCATCTTGGTTGAAGATGCTTAGCTGTTTCTATCTTTCATTGTGCCTACCAGATCTTCAGCTTTGTAATTCAAAGCATGAATTTATATGTAGTTTGAAAAGTGAGAATATTAAGAAATGTAGTAATAAAGTAGAGTATTTTACAGTACATTAATACATTGCTCAGGAATAGTCCAAGAAATATTTTTAGTGTTTTTTTCCTGGTCTACTGGAGACCAAATGTGAAATTTTGAATTGGTAAAGGAAACGAATGTAATAGACAGTATTACATTTCCAGAATCAGTATTTGTAAAGTTACACTTAATGTGAATTGTAGTTGCATGTACATTCAGCTCTATGCAATTGAAGTGAAACTTAATCTGAGATGCTCAAAGACCAGAGGAATTTGCCGTCAGAGGTGTGGTGGCACTCAGGATGGGACTGAACACCAGCAGCTGCAGAGGACCAGCACATCCCAGTGTTGCTGTTTCACCTTTTTGTTTTGGTCCAGCCTCATGTTTTTTTGCTTTTTTAGTTTTTTGGAGTTTTTTCCCTGCACTCAGTGCTAGTATTTCAATCTCTGGCCAGATTCTGCAAGTCTGCCTTAGTCAAGTTTTCCTGATTCACATAAAGAGCAGTGAAAAATAGGAGAGCTGCTTTGCCAATAATCAGGATTTTAATTCCCTGTTTCCAGTTTACTGTTACAAGCACCCAACCTGAGGTGAGCAGGATCCAGACCATAATCAGAATAGCAGTTTCTTAAAACAAATTCTGTTAGATGCAGTAAATAACTTAGCATGTTATTATAGCATTGAATATTGCTGGATGATAAATTTTCTAAATTGAAGCTTTCCTGGCTTGTAAGGAGGGCATGTAGATACAGGCACATTTTGCATGATCACTTCTTTAAGAGTAAATAAACCCCATTTCCATCAGCTGTGACCAGAGCAAAAGTGATTGGCATTGGGAAAAGTATTTTGTCACAGAGGTAGGAAGGTTTTGATGCAGTTTGTCATAGTCTGGACATCAGTCTGTCGTTGGGAGACTAAAAAGTGAAGCAGGTAGAGGTGGTGATGGCGCTTTAAAGAAGTCTGAAAACTTGTTCATCACTGGGTTCCGTGTGGGATCTGACCAAGTAAGTTTGTCTCACGTGATAATCACACCAGTCAGATTTCTGTCATTGATTTGATACTTCTGACACCCTCGTCTTTGTTCTCACACAGAAACAGAAATTCTGTGTTTGCCTCAACAAACAGCTCTTGGCCTGAGCAGACCTGCAAGGGCTGGGTCTTATCCTGTTTCCATTTTAACTTCACCATGTTCTGGGCCTACAGATGAAAAGAGCTCCTTTTACGAAGAGGACTACAGTTTATATTTATTTCATTTTGTTTTGCTGGATGTTGTCTTTACAAGCACTTCTGAACACAGCAGAAAAAAATATGCCATCAAACACATTCAGTTTAAAATTAATTACTTAAGATACTTCCACAGCACCGTGTTTGTGTGGCTATTAGCTTTTTTTTACAAGGTTTAGCAATATGATCATGTGGATCTAAGCCTGGAACTGGTGATGCTTCTTGAAGAACAGGTTACTGTAATGTGAGATATTTAAACAGAGTGATTTTTTAATTTTTTTTTTTTTATTTTTGCTAGAGAATGTAAAGGTTTAGTGTTCTGCAGTATTACCTACAAAACAAATATGCTCATGTTGTATTTTAAATAAACAGCCAGACTCTGTTTCAGTTACATGAGTATCAACTTTGAACAACTCAATTCTTTTCATGAAATGACCCTGTTAGAAGATGTGAAGAAACAGAATTTCACTCCAATGTGTACAATCTCTTTTCCTCAGTAATGCTAATGTATTTTTAGTGCATCACGTGAAGAAATTTAAAGCAATACTGTTTTTCTCTTGCCATGTTTCTTTTTTCTCCATTACTTGGATCTCATCCTGAGGGCACTTCATGTTTTCCCCCCTCATTTTCAGTTGGATCCAGCAGGATGAGCTGCAGAGAGGATTGTGCTGATTCCATTGGGCTGAAATGTCCTGTTTGGCTCCAGACCCTGAAATGTGCCCTCATCCTGTCACTGTTCGTGTCTGTTTTGTGTTTCATTGTTGTATGAGGTAACTTTTACCTTGTATTTGATATTTAAAGGATCTTGTTAGAATTCTGAGAGAATTTTGACAGTTTTTTCAGCTAGTATGTGCTTTTTTGGAGCTGATACTTTAAATTTCTACAGTATGAAATTGCCTAGAATGTACTATTTTTTGCCTTATTTTAAAGGTATTGAGCCTTTGTTGCTCCCATTGCATTAGTGGTTTTTCATCTGAAAAATAAACAGACCACGCTGGAAGGACTGAACTTGATTAACTGAGGATTTGCAGACCAGCTTTTGATGTTGGTATTCATGTATTCTTATTTATTTGAACTTTTTGTGGATATTTTTGCTAGTAATTCCATGGGAAAGTGATCTTGTAATTCAAAGGTATATTTGCTACATTAAAAGTGAGATACTGCCCTGTTTGTTGCCGAGTTGTATTTTTTTCTCGAGATGGCGGCACTGAATTTTCTTGGAGACAATTCCAGACAAATGCAGTATCGGGTGGAGGGGGTAGCTGAGCACATCCCGGCTCCTGCTGGCCAAGGGAAGCCATAAAAATACGGAATTTTCCTTCATTTTCGGGCAATTAAACTCCATCCGGGATTTTTGGTAATCTGGAAAACCCGGACTGGATTTTTCCCGGAGTACGGAATGGAGTCACCCGGTAATCTGGAAAACCCGGACTGGACTTTTCCCGGAGTACGGAATGGAGTCACCCGGTAACTTGGAAAACCCGGACTGGACTTTTCCCGGAGTACGGAATGGAGTCACCCGGTAATCTGGAAAACCCGGACTGGATTTTTCCCGGAGTACGGAATGGAGCAAAACCCGGGCTGAGTTTTTCCTGCAGTTTGGGTATAATTTTTTTTAAATTTATAATTTTGGGTATAATTTTCTGCAGGAATGGGTATAATTTAATTTCACGCACAGCATGTTCATGCGCTCAGCTGGGGCTAATCCAAAGGAAAATAAAAGGAGGGAGAGTGAATTTTTCTATTTTCTATTGCTGAAAAATGCCTTTGTTTTGCTATTTCTGTAATATTTATAGTAAGCTTTACAAAGCTCCTTTGTGAAATACCACACAACAATTTTACTGTCCCAACATTCCTGCTATTTGAGGAAAAAGCTGGAAAAAGCTGTCCAAGCCTTCCTCTCCTGCCCTGCTATTTAGTCTGTTGCTGTTATCTATGATTTTGAAAAGATCCCACCTGCCTTCTATTGCTAGAAATCTTCTCACCTGAACAGGAGATCAGTTTTTCCATAATTCTTTCTTTCACAACTTCCAGAACACTAAATTATTTAAAAGAGAATAAATCTTATGCCCAGTAAGAGCAAATCAGGAGAATGGAAAATGCTGTAAGAGGTGTTTTCACAGAAGCCAGAACCTTCCCCCTGCTCTCTGCCACTCTCTGTTTCTTAATTTTCAATTTCCTGCTTCCTTATTGTAGTTTCATGTAAAATATGTTTTTCCCACCCTGGGTAAGAAGTTCATCACCAGATACACAAACTAATCCTTGCGTGGTGGCTTTTGGGTGGAATAGGACATATCAGCTTTCAAATAAGCTTTGACAGAACTTGCTGTCCTTTCAAAGTCTGAAACCATGGAAAAGCAGCTCTCCTGGGCATAAACCCAGCTCCTATTGAAAGTAAAGTTGTGTGTTTGTTTGTAGCAAACAATGGTGAAGTTATTAGGGAATGGCATTTCCAAGGAACTGTTGAATCAAGATGAGTTTACTGTGAGTTGTAAAATAGCAATAAAATTGCACCCATTTATTGTGTGTGGAGGTGGCAGATGCAGACTGAAGCAACCCAACACCACAGGGTTGAGCTTTGCTTGGAGCCAGTTCAGCTGGACAGAAACAACAGTTCGGTTTTTTTTCACTCTGTCTGGGGTGGAAATACCCGTGGTCCTCTGGGGCTGCACCCAGGGCTGGACCCAGCTGGAAATGCTGGTGGAAAAGCCCTGGGCTGCAGGGAGCCATCACAAAACGTTCCACAGACCCAGCTCTGCTACACCTGGATGTTCCCACCTCCCACAGCAGGATCTTCTCAGGTCCCCCATGGTCCTGCTGTGCCCCTTGGAGCTGCTCATCATCCTGCTGCTCCTGCAGGTGGGTGTGGGCTGGGATGTGGGCAGGGGGTCCGGCTGATGGGGGCACGGCAGGAGGATGGAGCCAGGATCTCCTCGGGGTGCTGAGCAGTAGGATCAGAGGAACGGGCAGGAGATGGCACCAGAACATTCCACCTGAACACGAGGAAAACATCACTGTGCGGGTGGCTGGGGCCTGGAACAGGCTGCCAGGAGGGGTGATGGGGTCTCCTTCCCTGGAGACACTCAGAATCCTTCTGGACACAATCCTGAGTAGTGTTCTTGAGGGGACCTGCTGGAGCAGGGGGGCTGGACCAGCTGATCTCCCGTGGTCCCTTCCCACCCTAACCCTCTGTGAGTCTGTCTCTGTTGGTGCCTCTGAAAGAGACAGTTCCTCTGCCCCAGCTCCTGGGCTCAGGTCTCTGGGAAGGGTTTTCCAGGGCTGGGGACCCTCTGCTCATCCTGCTGGGAATACCAGGGCTCACACCTGGCTGAGCACACTTGTGCCTGGTGCTGACCCTGCCACCTTCACCACCATCCCCCAGGAATTTAGTGGGGTTTCCATGAGTGTTTCTGTGGGATTCATGGTCCTGCACTGGGTTATTCCTTTCTAGCAGTGCCCCTGGCCGGAATGGAGACAGCTCTACCCTGAGCCATGACGTGCAGGTGAACATGAAGAGTGGGGAAGCCAGAAAACACACAGTTAAAGCTTCCAAATTGATTAAAAATGACTACACATAGAAAAGGGGAAAACAGCTCATTCAGGGGGTCCAGCAGGGCTGAACCTGGAGCAAATCCAACAAAGACAACTCACAAGTGCCCAACTGCAGCCTTGCTTGCTGCTTTCACATCACAGAACTTTTCCCTGTAAAGAAAGCTGTGTAAGCAGCTTTACAGTTCCAAGGTATTGCTGGTGAACCCCATTCGTGGCTCAGCAGGTTTATAACCATGATAGTTTTATGGCATTTTGTTTCCTCAGAATAAAGTCACAGGGTAAAAACCTTTGGCTATGTCTGGGCAGGCAGAGATCTGTTCCATTTGTGGAAGCATTAGATAATGTTTCTCTGTAATAAACCTCAAGATTTCCACAGAAATTGTTGAGAAGTAGGAGAAAGGTAGGAGAAAGTTACCTGTGAGGTAACAACAATGGTGTAATTGCAGTGCTGTCCTTGGAGGTGAAAGGTTTCCAGTGAAAAGCAGTGTTTGAAGCCTGGGCAGGAAGCTTGCATTTATATGAAAAGGCAAATTGTGTCAATTTGGGTGTAGCCACCATTTTCTCAGTGATTTATTGTACTCATCTGAGTTAGAGATTTTGGTCCAGCGATCACCTTCTGGTAAATCAGCTGTGTTTGGAACATTTCAAGACACACCACAGAGCCCCTGAGACTCTGAAATTCTCCCCAGACTGAACTCTTTTTTTGCAAAAGACAATTTATGTCCTGTCAACACCAGACAACTTCTAAAGGAGCACTGGATGCAGAGGGACAGGGGTGAATAAAAACTGGAGATACTTGTTTTAGGAAAAGCCACAGAGAAGATACCAAAGACTGGTATCTGCATGGACACAGCATTTTTATGGGGTCTGGCATCACCTGACCAGAGGAATTGCTCTCACAGCTCTCATGGCATTCATTTGGAACGAGATGGATGATATTTGTGATGGTATTTGTGGAGTTAAGGGTTAGATACAATTCAATACAATACTGTCAAAACTGGATCAATATGTTTCTTTGAAGACAAATTCCTCCTAGACAACACATCAAGTTTTTTAGTGACCCACACTTGTCACAATCACTTTTCTTCTTTTCACAAGGTTACTGCTGCTGACAGTTTTTCTCATGAAATTGAAAATTTCAGTTTAAGACAAGCTGTCAGAAGGAAGAGTATTCAGGTTTGTAGTCAGTATTATACAATAACATATACACAGCAGCTAACTGTGCAAACTGGGACATTAAACCCTGTTTTTTATCCAATAGTGGATGGATTCTTACCAGTCAGACAGTCTGCAGCCTCTGAAGAGAACAAAAAGAGCCTGGGTTATCACCACCATTGATATTCAAGAGGAAGACAAAGGACCATTCCCCAGATATGCTGGACAGGTACAAACCACCCTGTAGGAAAAGTCCTGCCTGAAGCTCAGCAAGGCATTCATCACCTCAGCTTGTACAATAAAATACCACATGGAGCAGAGGGCAAAAAGTGCGCATTAAAAACCAACTTTTAGAAAACTTACTCATCCAAACTTGACTAATTTCCACAGAGATGGGTAGAACTGTGAGGTGGGAGGGATTTACTGGTCTTTCCTGTGGGAAGCTGCAAGGACAGTAAGGGGAAAGAGGATGATGGAGTGGGTGTTGTAAGAGCGCAGGGAGCTCTGGGCTTGGCTGAGACCAAGAGGCTCCAGCTGCAAAGAAGAGAGGGGCAGAAAGAGGATTGACCTAAATTATTTGTATTTCTGTTCCACCTTCCCTGCTCATGTTGCACCATCCTACTTCTCTCTTTAAAAGCTGTTCAATAATAGATCATACAACACATCACTGAGGTATTTAATCAGTGGACCTGGGGTGGATGAGGCTCCAGAGGTCGGATTGTTTTCCATAGAAGATGATGCCAATGGACACGTGTACGTCCATCGCACCATCGACAGGGAGAGGACTCCAACCTTCCAGGTAACACACCTGGGCACTTCCAGCTGTCTGCAAAGGTTAATCGTTCTCTCATGGCTAAATGCTTCACAGGAAAGAGCCACACCTATAATAATGTTAATGGGTATTTTCATAACTTGCTTTTCTTATCTGGCGCCTATAAATAACTGCTAAATTAATTGGCTCAGCAGAGACCAATTAATTTCTACATCACTATTCATTATAAATCTCTGTGGCTTGTCTGAACTTCCACAAATGTCTGCACGCTTCTTTTCGATCTTTCTGGGATGACTTCTGATCATAACCTAAAAACTTTAAAAGGCTGTCCTGAAATTCAAAATCTGTTCCAGCTCTAGTGGTCAGAACACTGAGTTGTAAACACAACCCCCTAATCAGGAGAATGCAAGCAGATAGTCATGTGTTACAAAAACTGGGTAATCCTGGGGGAGCTGCAAAGTTCTATTACTGTAACTTTACATAAGAGGAAGCATATGTTTCCCCTTAAAAAGCAGAAAAATGCTCACTAGCAGGAAGTGCAATGAAAGAAATGTGGTAACAAGTTTATGAATGAAATATGGGAGTGTGGGTTTGTTTTCCTCCTGAAAAAAATTTTCAGTCATGGTCTCCTTATGTTTATTCGGTAATGATTTCTATTTGGGTCTCTGTGGATTAACTGTATCTAAATTATAGTTTTCCATGTGCTTTTCTGTGCAACATCTTGCCTTTTAGGCAGCCATTTCAAATAATCAATTTCCAGTAAAAATCTTTTTTTACTTTTAAAAATGCTGTTTGAGGCCCAGGATGACCATTACAAATCTACTACTTTTGTAAGGTGAAATAATGACTTAATAATGTGACTGAAAGCCAATGCTAAGCAAATTTGACTGAAGCAGCTTCAACATGGAAGGTTTTTTTTTTTTCTGTTCTGATATCTAAATAGTGTTCAGTTCATCCTGATGTCTGTCTTGCTACTCATTTAGATTCGTTTTGATGTTGAGAACAAAAAATCTGGTGAGCTGCTGGACCGCCCTATATTTTTCAAGATAAAGGTTAAAGATATCAATGACAATGCACCCGAGTTTTCCATGGAAGAATATGGCACTACAATAAGAGAGAACCACAGTAAAGGTAAGTGCCACCCAAACAAGGATTACTGCTGGTTTGTGTATGACTGTTCTCTTCCTAATTCCTTCATTGTTATGATCCCTTTCCTACTAAATCTGTTCCTCTCTCTACTTTTAACTTAAAGACTTGTGAGTTTAGGGACATACTCCTGTTTCCTGCATTTCAACCTCTTGTCTGATTAACCTCAATGTACATTAGGAGATCATTGGAGACATTCTGGAAAAACTTCAGAGATGTTTATTCTTCTTCAAGCCAAGACTTGATCTCAAGTCTGATCTCAGCTGTGGATCTGGGAGCTGCACATGCACCGAACTTCACAGAAGGTGGTCAGACACTGCTCAGAAACACAGAGACTTAGTCTGGGTGTGTACACCTGTGGTGTCAACTCCTCAGGAGCTGGCATGAAAAAATAGTGCATGTTTTTGATGAAGTAAATCCAGGAGTGTGGTAATTCTGTGGTATAACAGTTCTTTGGGCAGATTTGCCACCCAAATGAAATAGTGGCCAGGCTGTGCAGGGATAACCATGGCCATGGGAGAAGCTGCAGATTTTCTTAGGAGCTGTGTGTTTAAGAACCTGCAGACAGGCCTGAGAACTCCACACTGAGAATAAACACTCCCATTAATTTCTCATCAATTCTTCATCCTAGATGAGCCAGTTATCCAAGTCACAGCCCTGGACAAAGACGAAGTGGGCACTGTGAACTCACAGGTGTCCTATTCTATAAGTATACAAATGCCCTCTCCAGATGGACTCACATTTCACATTGATCCAACCACAGGATCAGTATTTCTGTCAGGATGCCTGGATTATAAGGTGATGTATATTTAGCATCTTCTCATCATTAATGCATGATACATGTTCACTGCACAGTGAACACTCACAGGAGTGAGACTCACAGGAGAGTTTCAAATCCAGCTGTAGCTGGCAAAATGTGCAAACTGCTTCTCCACTAAGCTTCAGTTTCTTCAGTCCTTCTTCAGTTCCAGTTTCTTCCTTGTTTCTGTTTTTCAGACTGCCAGCTCTTTCAACCTTCTGATTAAAGCCAGTGACCATGGAAGTCCCCAGCTGTCATCTGCTGCAACAGTGACTGTCGCTGTTGAAGATGCAAACAATCACCTCCCTGCATTTACTAGTGATAATGTAAGGGAAAACATGATTACTTCACTGAGCCTTTCTAAGTTCAGTTCAGTCCTTCCAACTGCTAAATGCTCTCAGCAGTGGAAATGGGAACCCTCAGACCCTTGCAGAATCAGGGCAAAACTTGTGCAAATGAGATCTGTCAGATAAAATATCTCTTAAAGCGCTAAACTTTGTTAATTTTCTGTGTACATCACCAGAAGGTTTCTGCATCACTGGAAGCATAAGGAAGTTGACAGACCAGCTTATTCTGACATCTGGGCAGCTGAGGTACTGATTGCCCAGAGAAGTGGTGGGTGTTCCGCTCCTGGGAGTGTTCCAGAGCAGGGCTGGTCTCATGAGAGGTGTCCCTGCCCATGGCAAGGGTTGGAACAAGGTCACCTTTAGGGTCCCTTCCAACCCAAACCATTCTATGATTACAATCTGCTCATTATTTTACAATCCTAAATAAACCATTCCAGCCAAACCCAGCACATGTATTCAGAGTGCTGAGTCATGTCAGATACTGGTCTGTGTAAATGTTTGAGGTTGTGAAGAGCAGCAACAGGGTTACAACAGTGTGTACAAACTCACCTACAAAAACAAACACTTGCACCAGTGTCTCCTACCTGGTGTTTGAAAGACCTGAGGGAATAATGTTATATCACCTGCAAAAATGGGTTTACACAAAAAGCCTGTGCTTTGTCATCAACTCCTATCTAGTAAAATCCTGACCCTTCTCTCAGCTATGATTTATTCCCTCTCTCTGAGTATAATCCTTTTCAAAAGTTGTGATGCAAGGACAGTGCTGTTTGTATATTAGAAGGCAAGAATCTGAATTTTTAGCTCTCAACCAGTGACCTATTTATTATAAGAAATAAAGACAAACAAATGACATATTGCTACCTCATCACTCCTTAGGTGATTTAACTGGCATTTCTCAGTCTGTCCATGGAGTTCTAGTTAGGCAAGCTGGTGGCTACATTGCACCATCAAAAACTTAGGCCATTGTGAAGAGATTAGATAGATAGATAGATAGATAGATAGATAGATAGATAGATAGATAGATAGATAGATAGATAGATAGAATGAATCCTTATTTCCTTAATTTTCCTTCCTAGTACCATCTGCAGATTTCAGCAGGAGAAGAACATCCAGCTGTGTTACGGCTCCAAGTGGAAGATAAAGACTCTCCCAACACTCCAGCATGGAGAGCAAAATACAAAATAGTAAAGGGCAATGAGGAGGAGCAGTTCACCATTGAGACAGATCCAGCCACAAATGAAGGCATTTTGAGTGTTATCAAGGTGAGGAGATAATAGCAATAGATAAGCTGAATGTGGCAATGTGTCACTTGGCCTGTCTGATTGTGAGGTTCAGAGTCAGCTGAGTTGTGCTCAGCTCATGTGTGTTCCAGGTGACAGGCCTGACTGCCAAAACAAAGGTCATAACTGCTAAGTAACTGCTAATCAACTCCTAAAAAGGCATATCTGCTAATTAAACTGCTTTTGTCTGGGGTTTTCAGCCTCTCAGCTATGAAGGTGACCCCAAGATGAGACTTGTCATTTCTGTAGCAAATGAAGAACCTTTCTTCTGGTGTAAAAATGGCACTGTGATGATCTCTGATCTGGAATCCACTAACACCACTGTGAGCATCGAGGTCTTACAGTCACAACGTGCTCCAAGGTTTCATCCTCCTATCCTTATTGTCCAAAAGGAAGATTCAATGAAGCCTGGGAGGATATTTCGAAAGTATCCTGCCACATATCCAGATGATGTGCCAAATAAGATAAAGTAAGTGGCAATGTTCCAACTCTTAAGAAATCTTAAGCTTAGGGATATAAAGAGGTTTGCAAGTGTAGTTTGGTACCCAAAATGCACTTAAAACAATAACCTGTAATTTTTCCCTTTCTTTTTCAGATATGAACTAGCCAGTGACCCAGATGGTTGGCTGAGAGTGGATGAGAACTCTGGTGTCCTTACTGTGGCAAAAGAATTTGATCAAGAATCCCCCTTCTTGAACAACAGCGTGTACACCATTATTGTTCATGCTACTGATCATGGTAAGCAGCCAGTCAGAGAATATTCAGGCAGTCTGGACTGTGAAATGAGGTGCATGTTGAACATTAAGAGATAGCAACATGAAATGGTTAATGGATAATAAAACACCCTAATGTTTATAACTTGTGCTATGTGTGACTGGTAGGATAAACCAGACAGATCCTGCCACAGGACTGGCATTTGTCAATGCCCAGTTGTGTTTGTGTTTCTTTTGCTCCTGCCCAGGCAAGCCCCCACAGACTGGTACAGGCACCATCCTGCTTTACTTGTCTGACATTGATGATCATATGCCATCATTGGTGGCTCCTGCTTTAGATGTGTGTGACAAAACAGAAGGGACACCTCTCCTTATAGAAGCCAAGTCTGCTCTGGCCCATTCCCATTCAGGGCCATTTACATTTGAGCTGGCTGAGGACTCTGAAGATGTGAAGCGTAACTGGACATTAGGAAGGAACTTTGGTGAGCGCTTCCTTATGTCTCCTTCCTGAGTTTATTGTCAGTTGTGGACCCTTTGGTTATTTCACTCTCTTCCCTTTATGGTTTGTTACTGATGAGTCCCAGTGAGACTGAAATGATGGGAAGGAAGAGCCGTCAAAATATGAATTTGTGGCAATTTGTGAAAAGTGACATTGCTCTTATCTCTGCTGAGGACAGGACCAGCAGCAATGTGCTCAAACTGCAGAAAGGGGGATAAGACAGTTGAGGAACCACTTCTTCACTTGATTAACTACCTAAAGAATTCCAGAGGCTATCAGGGAGCTGTGCCAGAGTGCAGCCAGGCTGGGGCAGATCTCTGCCCAGAAGGCTCGGTGAGGTGATAAGGTGGAATATAATTTAGTCCTATTTACTATGGTGCATTAAGGCTGGAAAAACTATTTGAAACTGGGGTGCAAATGAGTTTCCTTTATCAACACAGGGGACCTTAGAATACTTGACTTCTTTCTGTGAGTCTTGAAATGATTCACTTGTCTTTTTAGGGCAGTCAGTTGAACTTCTGATGTTAAGAAGCCTCCCACAAGGCAGCTACTTGGTGCCCATCATTATTCAGGACAGGCAAGGATTTTCCAGAAGGCAGAACCAGCACATCAGGCTCTGCTTTTGTGCAGATGGACACACATGTAAATATTCACCAGTTCTACCAGCAGGAGTGGGACTTGGAAGTGGTGCCATTGTGATAATACTGATGGCTTTCTTATTACTACTGGGTAAGCAACCTCCTAAGTTAGACATGCAGGTTCTCTGTCATTTGACCACTTGGTCTCATTGCAATTGCAGCTCCTAAGCTCAAATCTACTAAAATCATGATTATTTTGCATGTAGAGGATCACTGGCAAATGTAAATTGGCATTAAGCTAAACTCTAGTACAACACCACGAGTATTTTTATTTGCATTGAATACTTGACTTTTTTTGACATTTTCTGTGTCCTGGCAAACTGAAAGTAATGAAATTCTCCCATGGAAGTAAAACTTATTCTAGAGCTGATTTCTCAGCACCGGCTCATGTTGGTTAATGCTGGAGAGAACTGCTGATTCCTTTGCTGAAGAAAGATTAATAGATTATCTGAGCATTGTTCTCTGGTCACCTGTGCATGATTTACTCTGTCTGCCTGCTCAGTCTCACCACTCTGACCAAGAATTCCACCTGCACAGCTGCATTGCTGGGATTTCCCAAGGGAGCTCCTTTGGAAGTGGGCTGGGAACCTCTCCCACACTGTTTTGAGCCAAACCCATCTATTCCCAGTGCCCATTTCTCCTTTCCCTTTGTCCTTTACAGTATCCAGCATCATGCTCTGCCGGTGCTACTGGTCAGGGGCTAAAAGCAAAGCCATTGCTCCACCCCAGGAAGGTGAACAGACTTTAATCACCTACAATGAAGAGAGCAGAAGTGCTTTTTCTGAGGTGAGTGTGACAGCATATATCCACACTACCCCACCAGTGCTGTGTGGCTGAATGTGCTACTGATCATCTCTTTAATTATGTTTCCTCTGGTTTTGCTACTGAGCAAAATTTGCCACTAAGCCTGTCTGCGGAGCTGTGCTCTGCATGGTCTGGATGATGCCACTCTGGTGACAGACTGTTACCACTCCTGCCCTTTTCAGTATCAGCAGGACCTTTCCAGGTGCCTCATCCTGCTGGTGAATCCGACTGGGGAGGGAGCACAGCACCTCCTGCCACTCTACTGCACACACATCCTGGTGTGTGCAACAAGGGAGTAAATGAGAAAATGGAATAGTCTGCAGAGGTGTGATCCTTCACACTTAGTTCAGTTCCTTATTAACACCATCCCTCCCCCTCTGTGCAGGCTGGGCTGGATGTTACACACAGTGCCACTCCAACACCTGTGTCTGTGGAGGCTGGAAAAGAAGTGATTGCTGAGGTAACTGCCTGGCTCTTGATGAAAATGTCCTTTTTTTATACCAAGGGAAGTGGTATCCTGGAAATTAGGTCTGGTGTTAATATGAGTGGGAAGAATAATGCAATATCATTCAATTAGAAAATAACTGTCACTTGTTGGAGTAGCTGGAGAAGGCAGAACAAAAGAAATGGATGTAACAGAGAGAAAGATAATTGGAGTTATTTTTAAATGAAAGAAATGTCAGAAGGTGGCTTTATGCTGGTCACACCTGAGCTAGGATGTCTGTCTTCCAGAATGGCTGCTTCACTGGGTATGAGACATCCCTAGCCAGACACCTGGACTGCTTCATACAGACAGTGGGCAGAGCACTGGCTCAGGTAAGAAATGAGCATTGAGCTCCTCCTGTGTCAAGTTTTGTAAGCACAGGAGAAAGGGCTTGCAAAACTGGAGAGCTGCTCTGGCTCGAGCTGCTCTGAGCCCATACTTCTGAAGCACTGCAATTGGAAGCAAGGGATATATTTGATGGGAAAACATTCAAGACTTTGTTGAAAATATCTTTTTTTCCTTGACTGAATTGTCCTTCAGTTCGGAGAAGTGGGGCTAAAATACTTCCTGTACTTGAGCAAGGTTAGAGTTTTGTCACCTGCTGTTGCACTTCTGTGCTGGCAGGAATTAAAATTCCTCTTGCCTTGCCCTGTCTGACCTTGCATGTTTATAGTCCTGTCCTTTGCCCTCCTTGGCCAGACTGCAGGCCCTACCAGCCAAGGTCACTTGCCAGCTCTCGGTTCAGGACAGATCAAATGCCCTTTGCTGCCCCATTTGTACCCTGGGGAAAGTTCAGACTCTGGAACTTAGGCAGCTGAGACTTTCTGTAGAAAATTTCCTTGTCAGAGAAAAACTCATATTCTTCCCTGTAAATTCTTGCCTAATTTGCATGCCATAATTTCCTTTAATTTTCAAAAGGGCAGTAGGAGCAAGTGCTGACTTTCATTGTTTCTCCCCTTCTTTAGAAAGTGTATTACCAAAGCACACTGGAAGATTACAGGGACATGTGTGAACCTTGCAGATACACTGAGGAAGGAGAATTAGAGCCCAGTAACTCCCCCTGCTCCATCTCCATTAGCAGTGAGGACCTGCCTGATGATTTCTTGAACACTCTGGGACCAATGTTTTGTGCTCTGGAAGAGATCTGTCAGAAGTGATCTCCATCACTCAGTTAATGTCAGAAGGCTGTGACTATGGTGCTGCAAAGGCTTCTGGCAGGAGCAGTGACAATTTCAGGAAAAAAGGACCATCTGTACCTGAAGGCATTGCAGTGTTTGCAGCATGAGCACCTGGCCTTTCATCCTTCCTGCCTGCACTGGTTCACATGGGCAGCCAAAAACCTGCTGTGTCTCCAGGGTCCACTGTGCAGGGGTGATGGGGCGATTTTGGCATATTTGTGCACACTGACACAAATAGAAGATCTGATATCAAGGATCCTCATTTTGATATGCAAAGTTAAAAAAAAAACAAACTAGATCAACTAGGCTTGAAATTCCAGACCAAGTTCCATGTGGAAATAAGTCAGTTTTGAAGAGAGAAGGAAATTACCTGCTAGACCAGTGTATAGTCCTTTCTCCAGTAAGTAGCCTCTTTAAATCCAAGATTAAGTTTAGTACAGTGCCATATTTTATATCCTTATATATGACAATGAAACATCAAAGAGAAAGTTCATTTCTCCTCTGGGTTTATGCCCTTGGACAGCTCTGCACTGTCCCTCCTTTAGCATGAAAGAGGAACTTTTGGTGCTCATGTGTGTGCTGGCATCTGCTGGCTGTTGGTATCACTGCTGTAAATAATACCCTAAATGCTAAGAAATTGTTGTTAGACAAGGTTATTCCTTTCAATGAAATAACTTCCTGCTCTAAATTAGCCACAAGTGCCTCTGAGGGGGAAACTCGTGGGTTTCCTCAAGCACTGCTGATAAAACAGGTGAAATGATAAAAAAGGGAAGGTATCAAATTTCCCTATCAGGAAACCACAGATGTGTTATTTTTAAATTTTGAGGTTAGGACATGTCTGACTGTGTGTGATTGAACTCTGCTCAGTTATGGCACGAATGCTGTTGGTCTTACAATACAGAAATGAGGGAAGAACAGCTCAGGAGATTGTGTTCTGCCATTAGGTAAGTTATACAATGCAGGAAGTGGTGGAATTAGTTACAAATCTTACTCCTGGCCTATTACAATTTTGTGTTGAAAGAAAAATGCTTTGCCCAAGGCAAGCACTAAGTCTGGGAGTTAAGACATTGTTTTTGTGTTTCAAAGTTTACTTAAACAATAAATTATGCTTTTGCTCAGATATTATTAATATTAATAATATTAATATTAATTAATATTAATAATTCCAGGCTGGGAACATTAGTCAAGTGTGATAAAAGAATTTGGCTGAGTGGCAGGCAGCCACATTGTCCTAAATGCCAGCAGCAAGATCTGTTTACACAATAAATCACTCCTGTGGTAAACTGTCCTTATAATTCCAGATGGGAGACTTCAAGTCAGGCCAGTGATTCAGCAGCACTGCTAATACCTGAGGTGACATTTTTATTGCAGATGATAACCATATTGTTAAGGCTAGAGTTACACTCTTCTGAAATTTTCTTCTGAAAATTGCACAAGGCTGAAAATAATCATGGAAGTGTTCTGTGTGTTTCCTCATGGTGGGTTTGGAGCACACCATGTCTGCAGTCACCCAAACGTGAGGTGTGATCAGACCTACGGTTGCTAATGTTGGTAAAGTTCCTTCTTGCATGGGACTAAGAAACCTGTTTTAATGGAACCCTATTTCTTGGGAAATGGAATGTTCCCTGGAGGATCTCACAATTGCATACCCTGTGCCCACACAGGTGGGAACATTCAGTGTCTCAGCTTCAGGAATCTGAAGATTTGCACACACTAAGCTAACACAGCTTCTCAACACCATTGTGACATAATGATGCAATGTTTACACTTTGAACAGCAGAAATTTAGGCTGAAGGAGCAGCTTGGTTGACCACAGTCACACAAAGCTGTGGCAAACTAAGGAGTGGCACTTACCAATACTGCTGCATGAGTATCCTGCCTTTCACCAAAGAATTTGACCCTTGCAGCAGCTCTTAGCCCATTCCTTTTGAGCAGACCTGAGGGAAATGTGCTCTGCTGTGGTCATATCAAACCAGTACAAAATTTCTACAGTCTGGGAGCCAACAGTGGTGGAAACAGCAAATAATTAAACCCTTCATTTTACAGATAAAGGACAGATGAACAGCAATTCTAAGTCAGCTCCTGTAATCAGAAAGAGACTTGTAGAACGGGTCTGGATGGTCAGAATCTCCTTTTGTCACTGTAATAACTGAAGTATCGTTATATTCACAATTCCCACCAAGCCCTGTCATTTATGCAAGTACCTGACCAAAAATATTCCTCTTTTTTCCACTAAGTATTTGCAGTCAGTAATTTAGTGATTTGACACTTGAACTCCTGTTAACGATTGCTGAATACTTTTATGTAGGCATGACAAAACATGGTACAAACACCCAAATAACCACTCAAACTGCTGAAAGCTGTTATGAATCCTGTTGCAAACACAGGGACAGGAAATCTGTCATACATCAACTGGAGGGATCTGGAACACCACAAAAAACTGCAGCACTAAGTCTGGGTTGTAGGTATGTGTGTCAGCTCCATATGACAATTACTTCTTTCTCCATCTGTGCATTAGGTTTGAGTTGACATTTTTCCTCAAAGGGGAGTGAAGGAAACTTGAATGAGATTATTATCTCCCATTGTTTTAAAAACTAGGAACTTCTGCTCGAGACACCAGTAAGTTTTTAGAGGAATTTGGCAGAAGGGAGGCCCAGGCTGGTGAGGAACAGCTTCACAAACAAATTACTACAATCAAAAAGGTTTATTTAGAGGCTTTCATGAGGAACAATTATTACTAAGACGTGAAAATGAGGCATGAACCAATTAATTTCTCCCCTACACCACACATTTGAGGCAGTCACACTTTGAAGGCACTATTGCAGGCAGCTGCTCAGTGAATGTCTCAACCATGTGAGGCAACACCAGGAGATAAACCAAGAGGGAAGAGTTGGGGGCAGCAGGTTTACTCGTGCCACACCTCACTCTGAATCTTGCCATGGTGCCCCAGGCTGCTCACAGGTTGGGCCTGGCTAATGCTGCCCTGTCTCCACAGGGTGTGAGGAACCATCAGTGTCCCGTCACCAAGGGACCTTCCACAGGTTCCCCTGGAGGTTGATGCTCTGTCCCTGCTGGATGCACACCACAGCAAACCTGGGCTGTGGATTTATCCTTTAGCACAGGCAGGTGCCAGGATTCTTCCCAAGGCCCCTCTGCTTGTGCTCTCCATCCCCAAGGCAGGCAGAGGACTCGAGCAGTGCCCACAGGCCCAGCCCTGAGCTCTGTGCGCAGCCAGCTGTGCGTTATCCATGGCCCCAGCTGTGTGCTATCCATGGCCCCAGCTGTGCGCTATCCATGGCCCCAGCTGTGTGTTATCCATGGCCCCAGCTGTGCGTTATCCATGGCCCCAGCTGTGTGCTATCCATGGCCCCAGCTGTGCGCTATCCATGGCCCCAGCTGTGTGTTATCCATGGCCCCAGCTGTGCGCTATCCATGGCCCCAGCTGTGTGTTATCCATGGCCCCAGCTGTGCGCTATCCATGGCCCCAGCTGTGTGTTATCCATGGCCCCAGCTGTGCGTTATCCATGGCCCCAGCTGTGTGCTATCCATGGCCCCAGCTGCGCGTTATCCATGGCCCCAGCTGTGCGCTATCCATGGCCCCAGCTGTGCGCTATCCATGGCCCCAGCTGTGCGTTATCCATGGCCCCAGCTGTGCGCTATCCATGGCCCCAGCTGTGCGCTATCCATGGCCCCAGCTGTGCGTTATCCATGGCCCCAGCTGTGCGCTATCCATGGCCCCAGCCCAGGCTTGGCTCAGTCCCGCTGTCACAGGCACTGTGAGGAGCCTCGGGCTCCTTCTGGCTTTAAACTAAGCACCTCCATGGCTTTAAACTAAGCACCTCCACGGCTTGCTGTTTTCCCACTGCTGTAGTGTTTCAATTACCTGTTCACAGTGAGAGCTCTAATCAGGACTCCTGCGAGCCCCCATTACTTCTGGCCCCTGCTGTGCCCAAGCCAGTGGGAGTCCCAGCAGCACAAATGTTTATCTCCGCACAATCTTCATCTCTGTCTTTGTTTTGCCTCGTTTATAAAGAACTTACTTAAAAGCAAATGACACACAATCAGTAAAGGGGAAATTAATCAGGCTGGAACCAAAGTTCTGACACGGAGTTTTAAAGGAAACAAGAGACACTGATCACAGGCTGGTCCTACAGAGAGGGGATGTCAGCACATCAGCGATAAAGTCTTTTTGTCTCAGACAGAAAGCTTTTCCCTCTCTGCTATTTCCTCTACTCTGCTGCGCAATGGGATCCCCTGGGATCTTTGGGCTGCCACAGAAGGAGTATGAGTTTTAATCACATCTTTCTCTGCCAGTTTGGGGTCATTTTCTTCCCTCTAAAAGATCCATTTGTCCTTATTAAGGAATTACAAGAAGTCACTTAAAGGACAGATAAATGACAAGAGATTTTATAAGTGAAGGGGAAACCACATGCTGAGAGGGTTATAATTAGTTCCTCCTATTAGTGCCTTAGGTGTTGTTGTATTTCACAATCCTAATAATTAAACACTTAGTAGCAGAGTGTTAGATTAGTGTATAAACCCCCCCCAGACCAAGGTGGAGGCTTCTCTCAAGGTTTTCTGGGAGCACGCTCGGAACGCACACTCCTAGCTCTTGTGGTAGTGGCAAAGTTTCCCAACTGAGTTCAAAGGCCGTGATCACCTTCAAAGAAACTGGAAATAGGCTTTTCCTTTTTTTAACATGTGCTGATGCTGACAACTGAGAAAAATGAGAGATTTATGCCATTACCATGGCTTTCCTTTTCAGCCTGTAATAGCACTTGGAGAGAAAAATGGTGATTGGGGAAAATTGAGGGAAGGCACATACAAAGTGCAGCCGAGCAGGTGCTGAACATCCCTTCCTTGTGCTGCTTCTGCTCTTTGCACTCCCATTATTTCATACTTTCCAAAAGTGGTGAGAAGCCTTCACAATAGAAACATCTGCTCCTGTTAGAGAAACATGGCCCGATGACCTGGGCCTG